GGGAGGTAACCTGGGCCTGTCCTGCAGATATTTCCCATTGCTGGCACCCGAGGACTCAGCCCCTGCTGCCTTCTCTCAACCCCACACTCCTAGGATGAGGTACTGAGCACAGAGTGCCCCAGGACTGAGCACAGGGCGCCCTGGGGCCAGAACCAAGCACTCTTCGGGCGGGGAGGGGCGCGCTGCTCTGCTGTGATGTGTGATCCAGTGACGTGCCTCTCCTGGAGTTGTTTCAGGGGCTGAAATGAATGAGGTGTCTGCCCGGGGTGCTGGGCCCTCTGACCCGGGCCCTCATCCATCACAATAGCTCAGGGCTGGCTGGAGCTCCTCTCACACCCGTTAGCGTCGTGGCGACTCACCGGGGGGCAGGGAGCTGCCGCAGAGACATTGACAAAGCACAGAAATTTCATTTTTCATGGTGATAGGGCTCGCGATTTTTTCTGGGTTGGCAGTTCTAGACAGGTAGCTGGCCAAGCCAGGAAAGGCTGCGAGTCTCAGGGCTGTGGGGGCAAGGAGGCAGGACGACACACCTCTGGAGCATGAGAGGGGAGGTGGTGTCAGGCAGCACCCTTGTGGTGGTGCCAGACCAGGGCAGTGAGGACCCTTTGGGCAGGATGATGGGTCGTGGTTCTACATCCTCCAATTCACATTCCTCCTGGGCTCCCCCCAACACCAGCCCCCGTGGTGTTTCTGTGCTGATGGTGTCAGCCTTGAGAGGGTGCTGGGGGTGAGGCGCTTCTGACCTGCTACTGCCAGACCGCGAACGCAGCACAGAGGGCAGTTGGCTGGGAGAGGCGCACATCCAAGGGAGAGCTCCTTACCCCAAAGGTCAACAGGACCCTTCCAGGAGGAGGGACTGCGTGCTGAGCTGATGCCTTGCTCTTCCCAGCAGGCCGACTCCAGCCCCCGCCCGCGCCTGCTGGCCGGCTACGAGGATGGATCTGTGGCCCTGTGGGATGTCTCTGAGAGGAAGGTGTGCAGCCGCGTCACCTGCCATACGGAGCCTGTCATGGGCCTTGACTTTGACTCCCAGAAGGCCAGGGGCGTCTCGGGCTCTGCGGAGAAGGTTCTGGCTGTCTGGAGCCTGGATGAGCAGCAGTCCCTGAAGGTCAGTGCGCCGGACCTGGTGTCATTTATCCTGCTTTGCACTAACAGTCTGATAGGCTGAAAAAATATTTAGGCATGAAGAGGAGTTGTTGCAGATCCCCGACTAATTAATCACTGTGAGGCGGGGCGCCACGGGCCGGTCCACAGGGCCGACGCAGGAAGAGGGGGCGTGGGCGTGTGTGAACTGTTCACATGGTTTGGGTTTCTCCCAGACCTTGGGTTAACAGCAGTCACGTCTTGTCCATCTAGAGAAAAGCCATGTAGAGTCCAGGAGTATTCAAGCCCATTTGTGAAAACTCAGAGGAATTTGGTAAATAAGGAACTGATTAATCAAAAAAAGAAAACTCAGTGTGGAAAACACCCATGGAGTCACGCCCCGAGTGGTGGTCTGCAGGCTGCCAGGGAGACTGCTGGGAGCTAGGTTCAGAGGCCTGGGGCAGAGCGGACTGCTGCTCAAAGCCTCCCCTCTGTGTCTTTCGGACTTGACCATCTCACATGGCACACGGAGCAATTGGACCACATCTGGGCTTCTGGCCCCAGCACTCAGCATAGGGTGGCCCCCTGCATGCTCAGCCCCTGTGTGGGGATGTGATGGAGTCGAGTGTGTGGAGTGGTGGCCTCCTGTCCAGGCCTGGCTCTGGTGAGGTCCTGTCTTGGAGGGGCAACCCACAGAGGTTGAGGTGTTGGGTGTGTCCTCTGCTTTTCAGGCCCCAGAATGTGGTCTGGGCACATACTGGCTCCTGGGAGTATGTGAGGAGTCCCATTAGCAAGGGAACCTCAGAAGGCCAAGACTTACCAACTCCTTCAAAAAGCCATGTTGTGAGGGGGACAGGATTCTGGCCAGGGCTGTGTGTCCCCAGCATGACTACGAGCAGAGGCAAGCCCAGTTCCCTGGCCTCTCTTACAGGCTTTCTTTGGTTCCTCACTGGAGAGAGGCCTGCACAGCTGAACCCCAGGGCTCTGCCTGCACCTGGGCCCCTTGGTACTGCCCTCCTATGCACACCTCCCACCACACCTGAGAGGCCGCATCACTCTGGGCCCCTGAAAGCAGGAAGTCGTTCCCAGCAGCCCTCGCAAGCCTGCCTCGCTCACACCTGCTCGTGCCAGGGGAGAGGCTAGGCCCACCCTGACAGGCAGTGGTCAGAGTCCCTGAAGTGCTGGTCTGAGTCAGGGAGAGGTGGACCTGGGTGAAAATCCAGACACATTGGGAAGGGGCGGGAATGCTGGCTGAGCAGCCAGCAGGGCCCTATAGGCATCACTGCACTTTGGGTGCAGCCATGGGGACAACATGGCGAGATCTTCCAGGGGAGGGACGAAGCAAGGCCAAGGGTGCGGGCCAGGGAGCAGGTCATCACCGGAGAGCTCCAGGAAGCCTGGTGCCCAGAGGCCAGAGGCCGTCCAGAAGGTTGGGGTTGCTAGTGCCTGGAGTGCTTGGGAGAGGTGGAGCGGAGTGAGGCCAGGATGTGTCCTTTTATGTGGCAGTAAGCAGGTCAGGGCGTCCCTGGAGAATGGAGGTTAAGACCAGAGTGAGCGCTGTGGCAGGAAAGAACTGGGCCAGGCGACAGCCCTGGATCGAGGCTGGCCTGTTGTCCTCCATGCAACACCATCTCTGGACAGGGACCTGAGGGATTTGGGGGTGAGCCCTGCAGGGTGCGGGAAGGAGGGGCACATGTGAGTACCCTGGCAGGCTGCTACAGCCAAGGGAAGGAGGGGAAGGTGGGATCCACACGGGCTCACAGGCGAGACAGTCACGCATCAAGTTGTATGCTTCCACGGGACCACCCCCTCTTCCAGGTCAGCCCTGTGCCAGGTACAGAGGAGATTCTCGGTGGTCTGACCTGCCCCGTCTCACAGAAGCTCTGGGAGAGGGTGGCCAGGCAGGTGCTGTCCATAGTGGGGCCACACCCTGTGCTGTGATGGGTGGACTTGCCCGGTGGAGGCCACTGAGGCCTGGGGAGTCATTGGCCTGGGTGGCAGTGTGTTTGAGTCATCCAGATGATGCTCATATTTAGGGACTAGAGGCTGAGCCTCTCTGGGAGCTGAGTCTTCGTGCAGCCCGTGTCACAGCCATCTCACTTGGTGGCTGGCCCAGCAGCAGGGCTGTTAGCCTGTGCTGAGCCTAGTGGGAGAGTGTCAGCTCAGATCCGTCCCTCCTGCTCCTTGAGCCTAGAGGAGACCTGGTAGTGCCCACCTCTCTCTGTGGGGGTCCAGTCCTGCTGTGGCTTGAACTTTATTAGCCTGACCAAAGCAGCTCCCCTCATCACCCTCCTGGTGTGGCCCTGCACCACCCTAGATTTCCCTGCACCCCAGCTTCCTCCTGCTGGCCCAGCCCAGGTCTGTCTGGTCTACCCAGGCTTGTTCAGGAAACAGCTGCTGGAAGTTAAGACTTAAATTTATGGGGCATGTTCTAGTCCCGAGCTGGTTTTACTGTGTTAATGAATTTAAAAGTTAAAGCAGAAGGGGGAACCAGAAATTGCAGAATGAAAGTGGTTGGCGTGATGTGTGGTGAGGCGCTTGACAGGGGGCCTCTGCACACAGTCGTCCACATCAAAGGAGGGCAAAGCTTTCAAGACGGATTGTTCTTCCGATCACCCCAGCAGCCGTACAAGGAGGCAATAGTCCTGGGAGATGCTGGAAAGGGAAGAGTCTAGCTGGAGAGGGCTGAGGCCAACCTGCATGCTCTCCCAACTTCACCTTCAAAGTTGGCCTCAGAGGTCTAGCAGGGTCTCAGGTTCTGTAAAGCCCAGGCCATGGGGAGGAAGCAACGCTGGCTGCACTTTGCCAAGATGAGCAACTGAAAGCATCTGTGACACCTGGGAACAGGTGAGGTGACCACACACCCTCGCTGTTTACAGAGTGTCCTCCAGTGAGGCGACTGCACACCCTCACCGTTCACAGTGTCCTCCAGTGAGGTGACTGCACGCCCTCACCGTTCACGGAGTGTCCTCCAGTGAGGTTACCACACGCCCTCACCATTCAGAGGGTCCTCCAGTGAGGTGACCACACGCCCTCACTGTTCACAGAGTGTCCTCCAGTGAAGTGACCGCACGCCTTCACCGTTCAGAGTGTCCTCCAGTGAGGTGACTGCACGCCCTCACCGTTCACGGAATGTCCTCCAGTGAGGTTACCGCATGCCCTCACCATTCAGAGGGTCCTCCAGTGAGGTGACCGCACGCCCTCACCTTTCACAGAGTGTCCTCCAGTGAGGCGACCACGCGCCGTCAGCAATGAGCTACAGCACCATGGGTCCGGAGGCGCCACCCATCTGAGCCCTCCGTGCTCTGGTGCAGCTGCCTGCCTCGGGCTTGTGGGCCACGTGGACACAGATGCGCCTCACCTC